ATCTATCTATCTATCTATCTATCTATCTATCTATCTATCTATCTATCTGTATGCAGGTCTTGGTGTGTTTGGGTCTTTTCCCGTGTAAGATTGAGAATATATTGGCAATGTTTCGATGAAGTCCCACTCCCCATCTTCAGGCTGGTGCTTTTGGCTTCGTGCTTGTGCGAGCAAAGTGTGATCGGAGCTGCCGTCTCCCTATATATACTAGTGGGGAGGTTGGCTGTGTTGTCATTTCTTGATTGGTTGATGGAGTTGATGTTTGCAGATTGGCTGGCTTTTTTGTAAGAACATGTGTGGCTGAGGTATTGGATCTATCAGCCTCCTGTGTTGTAACAACCTGGGTAATGGGCTGTGTGATGACCTTCTATGTTCTATTGTTTTGACATCCTGGGTCTTGTGCTGTAATCTCCTGGGTCATAATGACCTGGGTCATGGGCAGAGTGATGACCTTCTGAGTTCTATTGTTGTGACATCCTGGGTCTTGTGCTGTAATCTTCTGGGTCGTTGGCTGTGTTGTGTATATATGTTAAAAACAAACCTTCTCATCCCCAGCAATCTGAAGCAAACCAATCACCCAGCAGAAAGAACTCTCCTTCAAGAAGAAAAGCGTGCTCATACCCAGTAACTTGGAAAAAATCATCTGGTTTGAACTGGAGAGGTATGATTTATGTTAATTATGAGAATGTGTGGTAATGTGAGGAATCAGGAGATGAAATTATGAACCATGGTTTAATGATGTATTTTTTTGCTGCTTTAAGGGTTATATTCAGAAAGATGCTTTGCTCCCTTTCTGAAGTACCATTCTGAGAGATTTGTTCAGCTCTGTGATAGTATTTGTTCAGACCTACATCTAGCCAACATTGTATACTAAAAGAGCAGGGTCTCCATTTTGAGGACTAAAATGACTGCTATCTTGTGCATAGGTATCTGGGAGTAAGCCCTATTGTGGGATTTTTCTTCTGAGCACTAAAATGTTTTGAGATACCGGGAATCTTATTGGAGAACTTTGAACTATCTTTCAAGATCTCAAAGGATTTTGAGATTTTTCTTTCGAAGAGGAAAGAGGACCTAGGAGGGAACAAGAGAACAAAAAGATTACCCTCTGTGGAATCTCATTCTCCATAATCGCATTCTCTTGTTATGTTCTGCTTTACTTTGGAAGTAAAGACTAGATTCCTCCTGCTTGACAATCAATGTGTGAATGTTTTAAAGGAGGCAATAGAATATATTCTGTTGAACTTGAATGTGGATCCCTGTACTGATTTTTTAAAAACTTATCTCATACCTTTGATTCTTGCAGGAACATCCATTATATCCATGATATTCTGAAGTTTTGTGCCTAATAATAAATAATCTCAAACCGGTCTCCTACTAAAATTTCTTTCAGTTGTAGGGCATGACCAAAGGAAAAATGGAGATGGACTCATATCAGAAATATCTTCTGCTACTGCCTATAAGACTTCTGAGAGTCCAAAGGGAGAACAGATAACAGATAATCAGAGTTGGAAGAGACCTTGTAGGCCAACCCCCCCACCCAAGCAGGAAACCCTACACCATTTCTGACAAATGGCAGTCCAATCTCTTCTTGAAAGTCTCAAGTGATGACGCTCCCACAACTTCTGAGGGCAAACTGTTCCATTGGTTGATTGTTTTCACTGTCAGAAAGGTTTTCCTTATTTCCAAGTTAAATCTCTCCTTGTTCAGTTTCCACCATTATTCCTTGTCTGGCCTACAGGTATTTATATTGTTCATATTGATCTCTGGGGCAGAAGTGTACAACTGTGTTCATTCTGAGAATGTACTCAGTTATTATCTAATGGATTGGAACTGCACCCCAAGAAGTGGATGAGTCAGGATAAAAAAATGGGTGGAGTCAGGACTAAAAACATAATTGTAATTAAGAGCAAACAAAATAAATTAATTACAGTTAAGCTGATGCTGTCCTATGTGTTTCATCATTTACTAAATTATTTACGTTCAGTATTTTAAATTATTCTTCAGTAATAGAAATCATAGTTCAGTTGCAGCCTTTGGAAGGGTTCCAGGGGTAGCCTTTAATCTCTAGGGGCCTTTAAGGCTTTAGGCTCTGCACCTCTTCTCTAGGAGGTTGAAATTCTCTTCACACCGGACATGATGCTTTTTTTAAGGCAGGGGTGGTTGAGAAAAAAAGAATGAAAATTTAAAATGAATTTGAAATTTAATTTTTTTTTCAAGTGCTGCTCTGATGTTTTAGATTTGTAGGTTGACCCTATTATTCCTTTCCCCAGTCTCAATGTCATGAACACAGAAACAAACACAGACACACATTCCAGATTCTATTATCTTACCCAAACATCTGGATAAGGGCAGCCTCAAGCTGGATCCTCATCTCACAAACCATGACTTACATATTGCATTATTACCCCCAAGATATATCAACATCGCCTTCTTGGGGGCAATTACTCCCAGTTTAAGAACTTAGAGCAGTGTTTCTGAACTTTGGCAACTCAAAGATATGTTGACTCCAACTTCAGAATCGATTCATTCAGAAGATTTCAGAAGAAGAATTCTGGGAGTTGAAGTCCATACCTCTTCAAGTTGTCAAGGTTGAGAAACAGTGACTTAGAGTCTGCATAGTAATCATACTGTGTCTTAGGATCTGTTTATTATTTTTCAAGCCACCTTTGGCCTTGATAATTGTCATGCTTTTGTAATGTGGGATATGTTCAACAAATATCTGTCCAAATGAGGCTGTCTTTTTCCTTAACTATTGATAGACAAATGTGTTTTCTTCCCAAGGTAAGACATTGAGAACACTACCTAAGATATGGAAGAAAAAAACGTCATAGAAAGTCAACATTGTGCCCAGATATTCAGATGGATTTTCCAACAGTTTATGTTTCCTTTTCCTGAATGGTGGTTTTTTTTCAAAGTGAGGACTTCATGTGCTTGAAGAACATTGTACTGACCATCATCTCTAACATGGTTACAGTTCCATGATGAAAGATGACGATGATGAATGATAATGATGGTTTGCCATGTTAAGATTCAGAAGACAGTTCTTGTCACTATATCAGAAATGCTGATGTATATTGAGGAAAAATACCACTTTCACTTGCTTGTTGTATATGTGTATACAAGTGCCTTATTTCCTGCAGGCTGATGCCATGAAAGAAATTGGTACAGTTTAAAAGAATACCTATATAGGATGTCATGTCTTGTATGCTAAAAAAACCCTTTTCCTAATCTTAAACCTGTCCTTTTGTAATTTCAGTGGCATTTTCTTAAAAATGACAATATCTATGCAGATGAAATAAGAATGGCTATTAATATTATAATATATAACAAGCTAACAGAATTGCAAATTTCTTAGATTCTTGGATTCAAGAAATGATCCCTGCAATAAAATTGAATTTTAAAGCAAATCTACAGGATAAATTTTGAGATAAGGATATAGTTATTTATCCAAGCCTACAGTGCTCCAAAACCCTTCATTTGATCTTAAATTCTGAAAGATTAAAAATACATTTTGCTAATGACAATCAGGGATGCAATTCTTAATTTAAATTTCTAGAAGGGTTGAGTAAACAGTTATTTGGAGTTCTGATATTACTCCTTCAAGTTATGATATTTCAACACAGCTGAAAAAAGGGCACAGAATAGACCCTGTGACTGGAATTGATTGCATGTTGATTTAAAGAAGATGTCAGGAGTATATTGATTTGGCATTTGTTATTCAAAGAGGAATAAGGAGTGCACTGGTAACAGTTGGAACCCTTTTGAAGGGCACGATTAAAACTGGGATTTTTCCACATATGTAGTGCTATATAGTTTGTTAGAAGACAACTATTACAACTCTGAGTTGAATGCATTAACTCTTGGACCTACTGCAGAACAAAAAAACCCAAAAAAACAAACTAACTCCCAAACTGGCTGCATAATGTTTGCAAAGTGATACTGGATTTTTTGTTTTGTTTGGCAAAAGAAGAGATCTTATGTTAAAATATATATAGAGATATATTATATATAAATGTGTATATGAATATATTACATAAATAAATTATTCTAATTACAAAAGTAAGATATTTTTCTCATGTCCTATTTCAATTAGTTTTCTATTTTTCTTCATACTTTATAGTTTCCAGTTGGAATTATGTATTATTTATTGTACTGAAAAATATCTTCTTGAATATTATGCGTTTCTTTAAAAATGTGATTATGAACACATATTACAAATTGCTGTTAGCTTTTCAAACTTGTGTAACACATGGATGTATGACAGAGCTGACTTTTCCATCTAAAACAAAGTTATAAACCAGCTGAGTTTTCACTTAAATTCTTATTTTCATTCCCCTAATTTTGAGAAACTGTTTACATTTGTCCTGTGTATATTCTTGTTGCAGTTGATTTCAAAACCCTGGAAACTTCACAGGAATTATAGACAGTTCCCAAATTGAAAGGGTAGAACATGGTACCAGCCAGTGACCTAAGCCCCCTGCCTCCTCTGCAGAAGGGGATCTGGAAGCTAAACCCTGGGATGCCTGATTGAGGGATCTAGGTACGTCTAGCCTATTGAAGAGAAGGACTAGGGTGATATGATAGCAGTGTTCCAATACTTGAGGGGCTGTCACAGAGAAGAGGGGGGAATGTTATTCTGCCTGTCCTGTACAAATACTGTACAAATACTGTACAAAGGCAGATAGATAAACTCCACAAAGTATCCATACAAAGTCTTTTTTATTGGTTCATCAGGCATCCTGTCAACTCACATTTATGATGAGGTTCTTCTTAATGTCCAATCCTTTGCATATCTGAATTGTGGTGTAGGAAGATAATAAGGTCTCAACCCCATGATGATTGAAGCAGCTTCATGGTAATGACTTCAGGCAAGAGTTAGGGAGCCTCCCCCAACCCAACAAGGGTGAATTTAGTGACCAATCAGGATTACAGATGTGACCACATGACATGGACTACATTTCCCAGGATACCTTAACTACATTTACCATGATGCATTCCCTTCAGGGGACAGCTCACAAATCCTAACTAACTATCCCAAATCCGATTAACTCTAAACTGTCTGGACAGCACAGATGTCAACCTATTCTCCAAAGTACCAGATGGCAGGACAGGAAGTAAGGGGGGGGGGGATAATTAAAGAGAGGTCCAAACCTAGAAATAAGGATAAATTTCTTGGCATTGAGAATGACTAGTCAGTGGAATGGCTTACGTCTGGAATTTGTGGATGCTCCATTTGTCTGGAATGGTTTAGGGTTTCCTGCCTGAGCAAGGGGTTGGACTAGGCTAGGGGTATCAAACTCATGGTGTCACGGTGTCATCACATGATGTATTGGGACTTTTTTCACATTTACTGTGTGGCCAGCGCGTGATGCATCTGGCCTGTAGTTTGACAGCCCTGGACTCTACCAACCCCTTGCTCAAAACCTCCAAGGACCCTTCCAACCCTTCTGTGTTCTTTATTCTAAAAACCATCAAGGTGTGATTGCATGAAAAGCCATCACAATTCCATCCTTCTTGCATAGAGCTTGAAAGCTGGTGAAATGCTGTTTCCAATCATGGGGTGAGACCCAGGAAACAGGAATTATTGTAGTGGGAAAATGAACAACTCTAAGTATAAATTCAGAAGAGTAGTTTATTTATGGTGTATAGCAACTCATTTGGGAGGAAAAATGACCCAACTGCTGACAAAATCAACAGAATGGAATCATAGAAGTATGGAGCAAATTAAAGAAGTGCTGAAATGCTGCCTTTGGGGCCGACTTGTTTCACTGATAAAGGGGGGAAAAAAGCAACATGTCTCTTGGGTGAATGTCATACATATTTAAAGTTTAAATACTATCCTCTACACATCCTTGAAAAAAAAAGCAAATATGTTTTTAAATGTCTGCTGCTATACTCTAATGCTTCATGGCAGGCATCTTTTATTTCACAGACCTTGGTACTAGATCAGAAGTGAACAGGATGCGACCCTGTCCCTGGTTTCCTGTCTGATCTCACTTTTAATGTTTTAAAAAAATTGTTTAAATGAAAAGGAATTTGAATTCAGTTCCCGATTTTGTTTGAATCAAACATGCATGTTTGAAGGATGCAATAATGAAGGATGCTATATTACATTGCTGTATAAATGGCATTTGTTCTGGATTAGTATAAATCACAGTCCTCAGAAAGACTTTTAAGAATGAATTGGCCCCAATTCTGTTATTCTTATCAAACTATTTATTAAATAAAGGGAAACCGAAATGACTCTCCCCAGCAATATCATTTTATATTTTTTCTTGCCTGGATAGACATAAAACAAGGACATTCTTTTTTTACAGTGGAAAGAATTCTTAATGCAGGTGTGAATCTGTTGATTTTAATTTTTAATAACATAAATCCCTTTCAATATGTTAATTTTAAGGTCTATTTGTCCAGATAATAGAGCTGGTGGCCTTTGCGCAATGAGTCAGTTTAGAATTTTTTAGTTTCCATCAGTTAGACAGGATACATCGCTTCAGTGATATATCCCAAATGCCATGAATGCAGAATATAGTGAACTAGCTCTTTTAATATAACCAAAGGACAATAACCATTTGGAGGAATAAAGAAATCCTTTTTTGTGTTGTAGTACTCTTTCCTTTAAATAATGCGAGATGTTCAAGAACAGTTGCATATGTAGCACTCTTGATGTTCTCCAAAGTTTCTCTCCCTGCTAATATTTTATTAGGCCAAGTGACATAATTAGTACAGTACGGAGTGGAGTTTGCTGCCTGTTTATATATAGCAGCTTGTCCTACCCATTGTTGATTGGATCTTTGTTTTTTTTCTTTGGTTGCTTTTGGGGGAAGCTGTTGACTGTTTCATTTTACTCCCTCTCTATCTCCTCACCGTATGAGCCAAAGCCACCACATCCTTCAGTAAACATATGCACCTAAACACAGATGCAACATGAAGAGCAGAAACACATAGACAGAACACATTTGTAATAGTCTCTTTCAGAGTGAGGTGAGTGGTATATAAATTAAAATAAAGTAAGTAAATAAATTGGAATGAATTCTGGAAGCCACAGAATAGCAGAATTTCCCTGAATTTTTACTCTACGAAATCACATAAAGGGGGCTTTACTATGTGCCTATCAGCAAACAGAAATCTTAATAAAGTGGGAACAAATCAACTGTTAGAAAAAAGACTGCCCCTTTCCCTAACTGAGATAGCAGAGGAAACAAAATGCTCCAATGTATTCTGGGAGAAACATTTGGGTTACAGTTCGCAATGTTGCCTACATTTCCACTGTAAGCCTCCCTCCCTCTTTGCTCCTGGTTGTATGAGCAAGAGCAGAAATGATGTTTAAAGGACTAAAAGAATTCTGAATTTCCCAGTTATTTAAACCAATAGTGCTCACAAGTGAACATTCAAATAGGGACATGGTGGCTCTTGATTTTGGATGCAGGGAAGCAGAAAATATTTGGAAATGGATTATAATGTCTTGAACAAGCTAATCTAATTTCTATATTTTTAAAGAAAGGTTTCCAGGGAGGAAATCCAGGCATGTCCTCAAACTGCAATCTCTTACATGAGGGATTGTTTAAGATGGGATTGACTTGAGTATGTTTAAAATATTTGTAATGTAGCTCTGAATGTAGCTTTGAAAACACTCTGCTTAATAAACTAAGAAAAAAGCTGATGCACACACATCATTCACAACAAAAGAATTATTCACCACCCACAAGGATTTAAGGCTTTTCAATGTATTTGTTGGAAGCTGCTAGGACAGCAATAGGAGCACAACGAACAAGGTGGATTTCTGAAAGAAAATAAGTGACATGCTTCTAAT